ATCAGGAAGGACAGACGAAGCCGAAAACCAACACCCTCAGCATAACCAGAAGACACCCCACAAATTTACACTTGTCCACAGCCAAGGAAGGGGCATCAGATCTCAGCAGAATCTCCCGTGATCCCACCACAAGGGCCTGGGGGAGGGAGGCCCAGAAAGTACTGGGCACACAGGAGACGGGAACAGGGGGCCCAAAGGGGAACCCCCATTGCTCCAAGACAGCACGTCCAGGCGACAGGAGAAAGAACTGTGACAAGCAGTTCCCATGGTGCCCACCTCTAGACAGCAGCCACCCGAAGGCAGTGCCTCTCGGTAACAAGAGGGAAAAGGAAGGAGAAGTGGCCCCAGAGACAATGGTGGCAAGAAGAGGTGGAAGATGGGACACACGGGGCCCTGCAGGACAGTAACACAGAGAAGACACCCCACTGCTGCCTCAGAGAGCCGGGTCAGCAAGGCCACAGAGGGAAAGCCTACTGGGGAGAAGGAGGGCTTCCTGCAGTCGGAAGGTGTCTGGGCACCCAGGACACCCCCTCACTCATCCAAGATGATGGGGTGGGAGGGAGGCAGGGCCAGGCAGCCCCAGCAGCCGCGGTGCAGGAGGACAGCTTCCTGCCAGGGCCCCTGAGCAGCCGCCACCACCATGCAAGGCCGAAGGCCAGTGTCCACCCGGAGGCTCCCCTCACCTGGATGGGGGCCTGGACAGTGTCTCCTCTCTTCCCTCCAGGGCTCTTCCCCTCGCTCCAGCCACGTGATGAGATCCGGTTTACAACAGGGAATTCCTGCTTAGCGGGACAAAGGAGCAGGTCAGTCTTAATTATAGGCTCAAGGGGCTATTTGCTGGCATGGCAGTGGTCCTGGCTCAGACCGACAGTGGCGTGACCTGTCTCCTGAGCTTGGAGTAGAGGCTGGGGTGAAGTGCCCCACCCGGGGAGCGAAGCCTCCCAGGGGGGCAGTGCAAGTACTACAGGCCCTGCCCATCCCCAGGGGAGCAGGAAGCTGAGCACCTGCTTCTCAGTGGGAGACCAGGAAGAGTAAGGATCAAAGGGGTCAAAACAGCCCTGAGGGGAGACCCAGCTCACCCAGCGACACCAGGTGGCTGAAGTTCTCCAGCATCACGTGTCTGTACAGGGTCCTCTGCGCAGGGCTCAGCAGCTCCCATTCCTTCTGCGTGAAATCCACAGCCACATCCTCAAACGTCACAAAAGCCTGCAACACAAACCCAGGCCTGCTCACCAGGAGGCTGCGAGCCACAGCCTGGCCATGTGTGGGCAAGATGGCTGCATCCGTCCCCCAGCTTTGCAGGCGACCACCGGGTGCCAGACCTTCCACACTGCAGGCGGTGGTTCCCAGGGGCAGCCTGAGACGGACAGCACGTCTGCCCTCCTCCCCAGCCCGAGGACCTGCTTCATCCTGCAGGGGCTGATCAGGCAGGTCACCTCCCCTAGAAGGCTGTTGCCTTGGCACTGTACCAACGAGGCAGCCACCAGGGCAAGTGAAGGGGTGGGTCTGTCCTGTGATGGCAAAGATGGGACATCTGGTACGTCTCACCTCTCTGCCGGTCTTCCAGGGTCCCAGGGCCACATTCCTGCTCTCCATGGAGAAGGTAAGCCCTCGGAGGGCTGCTCTGTGGGGAGGGAAGAGAATAAGAGGGTGCGTGGGTGCACCTGCTCCGTGTGAGGCAGGGCTGACCCTCACAGTGGGGAGTAGTCATGGGCACCAGCACGGCCACCTCCAGTGTCCTGACAGGGGCAGAGGGAGCCAGGCTACCTGCTGGCTCATCTCCAAGCTGAGGCCTGGGCGAGAGGCTTCAGTGCCACGGGAGCTGAGTGAGGATTTCTTACCATGCTCAGTGAGTGAGAGACGGACTTGGGACCCCCCAGGGGAGCTCCTGCCTCTCAGGTCAGGTCCCAGAGCTCCAGGGGGCCTCATGAAGGCTCTAGCGCCTCTCCCAGCCTCAGGCTCCATGTGCTTAAGTAACCACAGGGCGCAGACCAGAGGCCACCGGTACATGGTGTTGGCAGGATGCACAGCATGCTGCTAACCTCATACTGAAGCCCAGGGGGAGA